CTATACAATATTGGTCTTTTTAGTGCTTCTTGTTTATCAATATTAGGGAAGTGTTTCAGTGCTACTGTATCAATATTCTCTTCAGTCCATGCCCTCTCCTCGTCAAGCACCAACCTATATCACATGATAGTCACATGACTCATGACCACACCCACTCACCGATCTTGGAATAATCTCAGAGCTTCATGGGCCCAGACTCGGACGAGTCCTTCAACTGAGAGACTCTCGAGAGGTTTTAAAGCTTCGTAGATACCACGAACCCACCTAGTCATCTCACGAGGACTGTATATGTAGTGAGGCTGCATATCCACTGTGAACCTTGACTGGAGGGAGAGAGACATAAAAATAGACAAAATTAAAATAGCAATTTTACTATCAATTGTCATTATATGTGTATTAATTCTTATAGCAAATGCTATTACAGTTATTTTTGTATTTATCATTAGCAATGATATTTTGTCACTTTAATTTGTTTGTGTTTTAAAAATCCCTAATATTTACTAAAATTACTACACACAATTAAAAGTCAATTGCAACTAACAAATACAATGAAACTCTAATACTATAGTACCTTACTCTCCCCTCTCTCTCTCTCACCTGTGACATTGTATAGAACTCCACCATTGCATTAGTGAGAGGGTCAGCATAAGCTCTCAGGTTAGGTACCACACGCAGCATTGCTCTATTGAATGTACCGTATATCTGACCCAGGGACATCGGACCAGGATAATCAACATATACTACAGGAACATGACGGAGGAACCTATAAAATAAATAAATTAATTAAATAATAAATAAATAAATATAACAATTATAAGTACATATATTTTGAATACATGATATTAATATTAATTATTTCCAGAGGTGTATATTAATTAAAGTGCGAAACTAAATAAATGTAGACAAAGATAAAATAAAAATAAGACCATGTTTATTCTATTTAAAATAAGCTAATTTACGAGCGAAAAAACATGTTTTTCACTTTGAAAAAGCGAGAAATGCTGAGAAAAATTAACAATAAACTTGTTCCTACTACAACCCAAACCTCATTAAGGAGTAAATAATCAAGAAATGCTGAGAAAAATAAATGACAAACACAATTATATGACAATTGAAACATTATGGTCCAATCTTAACTCAACAATACTCCTCCACAAGGGATGGGGTCAATAAACATTACTATTGTAAAATACAGTTCCATATTATTATTACTAATACAGTGCAATACATTAGTATAATAATAATAATATTATAAATAAAACTACAGTACATAAATATTGATGCTATAATTTTAAGACAATGTACAGAGACAATTAAAAACAATAAGTAATTAGTGTCACAAAGAACTTTAAAACTTTACACTTCATGTCATATGTTCATGACTCATTTTAACTTAAGCAAGTGTACATGTAGTTCACTATTAATGAAACTACTTATTTATAATTTATGGATACTAAAAGTACAAGACATTCCATCACTACATTTACATTTTTTTGTACATGTACGTCAGGGCTTTTTGAGGGGTGGAGCATTCATTTTTCTATTACCAAACATATCCATACTCCCACAATTATTGGGAAGGACTCACTCATTATAAAAGAAGGACACTGTCCCTCTCTCTCTACCTCACTTCTACTCTCTTTTAATTTTACTTTATTGAAGCTAAAGGATCTTTAGTATCATGATTGCTACTAAGCTGATGTACAGTTTAATGATAATAATTGTTATTATTAATACTGTCAATGGAAACTGTCCTGATGATGAGAAGGAGACAACTTCTCCAGTTGTTACCATCACTAACACTAGTGTTAATGCTACACCAGGTACTCACTAGTAAAATAGATACTATTTCTAAAGCTATAGCTAGTTTAAAGATACTCTATACTATTCTAAATCTATTTACAATTTTCTCTATTCTCTTCCTTAAGAATGTGTAATGCCAACTGATTGTAAAGCATGGAAAGAACTGGGAATTAAACAAAATGGAGTATATCCTATAAAACCAGATAATGGACCAGCTTTCCAAGTAATGTTTAATTGTATTTTACTTTATAATTATACACTATTGGATCACAGGTATACTGTGATATGGAGACTGATGGTGGTGGATGGACTGTATTTCAGAGGAGACAAGATGGATCTGTTGATTTCTATAGGAACTGGACTGACTATGAGAATGGATTTGGTGACCTTACTGGTGAGTTTTGGTTAGGATTGAGCAAGATTCGCCATCTTACTAAAGAAGGATCAAACACACTAAGAGTGGACCTGGGAGATTTTGAGGGGAACACAGCTTATGCTAACTACTCTACATTCAGTGTTAGTAATGGTAGTACTGAATATATACTAACAGTAGGAGGATACTCTGGTACTGCTGGGGATAGTCTGAGTAGCTATCATAATGGAAGGAGATTCAGTACAAAAGATAATGATAATGATTTCAGGTCACGTAACTGTGCTCAGGTCTACACTGGTGCCTGGTGGTATAATGACTGTGCTTACGCAAATCTTAATGGTCATTATTTCAATACTGCAGCTAGGAATCATCAAGGAATTATTTGGCGGCATTGGAAAGGATATGATGTAAGCCTCAAGTTCTCAGAGATGAAAACTCGTCGTAACAATTAAATACTGTCCCCCACACACATAAGTGTGTTTACATTGTGCTGATATATTATTATGTCATTTCAATAAGCTGCCTGTTATACCTTGTAGTGACTTTTGCTGACTTTAATTAATTACAATAAATTGATAAGCTGCAAATTGTTATAAAAAGATATAACTTGCGGCAGGCACACAATTAAAGCAAAAACAAAAAGGAATGATAAAAGTAATTTTGGTAAAAATCTCAGGAAATGCTGAAAAAATTCATAATAAACTTATTCCTACAACAACCCAAACATCATTTAAGAAACTAATAATGAAAATTTGCTTACGGAAATAATGATACATTGATATGACAATTGAAACATTATGGTCCAATCTTAAAACAACAATACTCCTCCACAAATGGTATCACTATTATTAGTAAAAATACAATGAGATATTACTATTACAGTACATGAATATTGATAATATGAGTATCATACAATGTACAGTCACTACAGTCACAACAATTAAGAACAATAAATAATTAGTGTTAGAAATAAGTGATACATAGCATTTCATGACTTAATAATCATGTGAAGCTTCTCATTAATGAACTATTTATTTATTAATAATATAATAACTTGACATTTGATTACTATTACATTTGTTTGAATGTACATGTACATGTACGTCAGGGCGTGTTGAGGGGTGGAGCCTCATTCTTCTAATACTATTACATATCCATACTCCCACAATCATTGGGAAGGACTCACTCATTATAAAAGAAGGACACTGTCCCTCTCTCTCTACCTCACTTCTACTCTCTTTTAATTTTACTTTATTGAAGCTAAAGGATCTTTAGTATCATGATTGCTACTAAACTGATGTACAGTTTAATGATAATAATTGTTATTATTAATACTGTCAATGGAAACTGTCCTGAGAATGAGAAGGAGAAACCTTTTCCATTTGTTACTAACACTAGTGTTAATGCTACATTAGGTACAGACTAGTAAAATACCACTTCCAAATTAAGTTATGGTACCTTAAATATATTCAATATTATTCTAATTTTATTTGATTTTCTCTTTAGAATGTGTAATGCCAACTGATTGTAAAGCATGGAAAGAACTGGGAAAGAATCAAAGTGGAGTATATCCTATAACACCAGATAATGGACCAGCTTTCCAAGTAATGTTTAATTGTATTATACTTTATAATTATACACTATTGGATCACAGGTATACTGTGATATGGAGACTGATGGTGGTGGATGGACTGTATTTCAGAGGAGACAAGATGGATCTGTTGATTTCTATAGGAACTGGACTGACTATGAGAATGGATTTGGTGACCTTACTGGTGAGTTTTGGTTAGGATTGAGCAAGATTCATCGTCTTACTAAAGAAGGATCAAACACACTAAGAGTGGACCTGGAAGACTTTGAGGGGAACACAGCTTATGCTAACTACTCTACATTCAGTGTTGGTGATGGTAGTACTGAATATATACTAACAGTAGGAGGATACTCTGGTACTGCTGGGGATAGTCTGACCTGGCATAATGGAAGGAGATTCACTACAAGAGATAATGATAATGATGCATGGGACAATAACTGTGCCGAGTTTCGCAATGGTGCCTGGTGGTATAATCAATGCGCTTTTTCAAATCTTAATGGTATTTATTTTAAAACTGCAACTGATAATTATAAAGGAATTAACTGGCGTTTTTGGAAAAATTCACACTATACTCTCAAGTTCACAGAGATGAAAACTCGTCGTAACAATTAAATACTGTCCCCCACACATATAAGTGTGTTTACATTGTGCTGATATATTATTATGTCATTTCAATAAGCTGCCATACCTTGTAGTGATTTTTGTTGACTTTTATTAATTATAATAAATTTATATGCTGCAAATTGTTATAAAGAGAACTAGTAACAAACAAAATGAAAGCATTAACCAAAGTAACAATTAAAATAATTTAGCTAAAATTAAAAAATCCTGACCAAAATTAAACTTCTGCGACAATTGAAACATGGTTCAATCTTAACTCAACAATACTCTTTATAGGGTCAATGAATATTACTATTATAAAATACAGTTTGATAGTATTATTACTAATACAGTGCAATACATTACTATAATAATAATAATATTATAAATAAAACTACAGTACATGTATATTGATGTTATAATTTTAAGACAATGTACAGAGACAATTAAAAACAATAAGTGATTAGTGTCACAAAGAACTTTAAAACTTTACACTTTACGTCATATGCTCATGACTCATTTTAACTTAAGTAAGTGTATATGTAGGTCACTATCAATGAAACTACTTATTTATGACTTATGGATACTAAAAGTACAAGACATTCAATCACTACATTTACATTTGTTTGTACATGTACATCAGGGCCTTTTGAGGGGTGGAGCATTCATTTTTCTATTACCGAACATATCCATACTCCCACAATCATTGGGAAGGACAAGGACTCACTCATTATAAAAGAAGGACACTGTCCCTCTCTCTCTACCTCACTTCTACTCTCTTTTAATTTTACTTTATTGAAGCTAAAGGATCTTTAGTATCATGATTGCTACTAAACTGATGTACAGTTTAATGATAATAATTGTTATTATTAATACTGTCAATGGAAACTGTCCTGAGGATGAGGACAAAAAGAAAACTTTTCCATTTGTTACTAACACTAGTGTTAGTGCTACACCAGGTACTGACTAATAAAATATATACCATTTCTAAAGTCATGGCTACTTTGAGGATTATTCTATACTATTCTAATTCCATTTGTGATTTTCTCTCTTCTCTTCCTTTAGAATGTGTAATGCCAACTGATTGTAAAGCATGGAAAGAACTGGGAAAGACACAAAGTGGAGTATATCCCATAACACCAGATAATGGACCAGCTTTCCAAGTAATGTTTAATTGTATTATACTTTATAATTATACACTATTGGATCACAGGTATACTGTGATATGGAGACTGATGGTGGTGGATGGACTGTATTTCAGAGGAGACAAGATGGATCTGTTGATTTCTATAGGAGCTGGACTGACTATGAGAATGGATTTGGTGACCTAACTGGTGAGTTTTGGTTAGGATTGAGCAAGATTCATCGTCTTACTAAAGAAGGATCAAACACACTAAGAGTGGACCTGGGAGACTTTGAGGGGAACACAGCTTATGCTAACTACTCTACATTCAGTGTTAGTGATGGTAGTACTGAATATATACTAACAGTAGGAGGATACTCTGGTACTGCTGGGGATAGTCTGACCTCGTTGCATAATGGAAGGAAATTCAGTACAAAAGATAATGATAATGATGCATCAACAGGAAGTAACTGTGCTCAGTCCTATACTGGTGCCTGGTGGTATAATCACTGCCATCAATCAAATCTTAATGGTCATTATTTTAATACTTCAACTAATAATGCTCAAGGAATCACTTGGTTGCGTTGGAAAAGTGCACACATTAGCCTCAAGTTCTCAGAGATAAAAACTCGTCGTAACAATTAAATACTTTCCCCCACACACATAAGTGTGTTTACATTGTGCTGATATATTATTATGCCATTTCAATAAGCTGCCATACCTTGTAGTAATTTTGGCTGACTTTTATTAATAATAAATTTATATGCTGCAAATGGTTATAAAGAGATAACTAGCAATTACAAACACAAAAAATAAAAGCAATAACAAAAGTATTTAAAAAAAAATTTGGGAAAAATTTCTAAAAACACAATTTTA